AATCTGGAAGAGAATTCTACAGGTGATAAATGCGAGAGAAGAAACTATTCGAGTAGAACTTACGGTTGCATTTAACAATTTCAACAGTGAAATTGTGAAACCTAGTTACCAATCTAGTACAACGTTTACATTCATAAAGCCGAGATACCAAAGAAATTACCATGAAAATATTTATAGAAAAGGCACGGAGAAACTACGTTACGGTGATGGGAAAGTGTTTAAGCCGACTTTTCGATCGGCTATTCGGGATCCTTCTTACCGCTTCAACAACCACTGGCAAAACATTCACATACATGTTCCGTGGTTGCTCTAGGAAAGCACATATGACACGCCTTTATCTCTGAATTCAAAACTGTATGTAGCCCTACAGAAGGATGTCATATCATGGACGGAGCGTGTGAGCAACGATGAGGTTTTAGAGAGGATGCAAGCAAAGAGAAGGCTTATACTTAACATCAGGAAGAAGCAGCTAAAGTTTCTGGGACACATAATGAGGAAGGAGGGCCTGGAGAATCTGATACTCACGGGTCGAAAAGCGGACAGGCATAATCGGAAACGAGTGACGAAATATTACATTGATGATACGCTATCTGCTTATATCTCTGATATTATGTACACCATTTACATTATTTGGACTATTGTCCTCATCTTTGTCACCATATTTATTAATGTTTAAAGGTGTTATTTAGATCCAGTGACAGGACCCAAAGAGTGTGAGTTTAATACCCGGTTAAGGCAGTGGAGAACTTGGAGAGGGGAATTAACAGGAAATAACTGACATCCATTAAACATGGCACGTTGAACTAGAAGAGTCTACCCCAGTGAGCGAAATAAACGGTTCAGTTCGACATTCCATCCACCTGAAGAAGTCCGGAGCGTACAACGAGCGAAACGTTATAATAAATATGGTGACAAAGATGAGGACAATAGTCCGAATAATGTAAATAGTGATGCTACGGTGCTGAGTATATGAGCTGATCCACATGTTACAATTTAAAAAAAAAAAAAAACTCTTGTAAACAGAGCCTTTTTTTTATTACAGTAAGTTTCACGCAGTACAGGGACTGGGGTCTACTCGAGGAAGAGGGTTACTTTAAGGGACCGTTTATGTGGATATGCGGCGAAGATCACGGTTAACTCTAGACTTGGACAGATTAAGATTTGTTATAGTGGAACACATCTATTCTATTGTTAATAGACTCTCCCACCTATAATAAGTAGAAGTAGTAGGAGTCGCTCATTGGGTCGGTCAGTCAGTCGACTGGCTGATCGGTTGAACTCTCTGCCTTCGGGCGAGGATGAACCCGAAAGAAGCTACGCCGAAGGGCGGACTCTCTTTCGGGGAGGTAAAACGACCCTGAACCCGTTTATATGTGTTCAATGGGCATATTTTTGGCCGAGCCCACGGGTTCGGAGATCCCACATTAAAAAGACCTTGTGCCACATGAGGAGGGGTGACTGAATATCGTCGGGCAGTCAGTCGATGCCGGACGACCGTTAGTCGGATACTAAAGTATCAGCGACCACAACTAGATTTACTCTGCGTCATTACCTATTATATCAAGTTCCTAACGTTTTGTACGTCGAACCTATTTTAGGACCGACTTAGTACAAATAAAAGTCTCAACTGTGAAACCACTCCACAACAAGATTGTAGTAATTGGGGAAACAACCTCTTGGGAGTCTATTCCATAGAGCATTGGTTTTCGAGAGGAACTTACTTCTCCCCGATGGAATACGAAGGGATGGTTATTTTCTAAGCGTAGCTTAGATGTGGCACAAGGCCGAAATTATACGGCATGTAGTGAGGATCGAACTCACTTTTGTCGTAACTGATCTAGCGAGACAAGCTTGCTAACCATTACACCGAGGTACCCCCAAAAAACGGTGGGAATGTAAGTCGTTTGCTACAATGTAAGGGGTATGACGGGTCCTAACCGTGAAGGTAAGATCTGCCATGCCAGGAATTTTGTTAATGTACTTTGGTGGTGTGATTGATATCGGCTCGGATTGAGAACTTGGAGAGCCGCGTTCGAATTCCAGTCGAGTTCGTTAAATTCACTTATGCACAAATGCCCTTGGGAAACGTATGAATCCATCTCTTCTCCCAACCCCAAAGCTCTGGGTTGAATAGCAGGATAAACTGGGTTCTTTAGCTTTGGTTAGCAACCAGTCTACAGCAGAAAGAAATGGCAACCTACTGCGGGAGAAAATCTGACTCCTCAGTCATGTATCGAAGGATACATGATCGCTCAAACGTGTATCACGTATGGCGCTTAACTGACTAAATTATCTGTGCCTTTATTGATCCAGTGCTCCATTTATTATCGGTATGACAGATTAAAGGTGCTATATTTTGTTTTTCAATTTCAAGGTCCTTATATTTACTTATTTTGTCTTGTTTTTTAACAAATATATTTCTGTCTGATGGCGCTACCATATCGAAGAGAAGCTATTTTTGTCAATATTCGTAGTAACATTTATTGCGTTCATTTTTTTAACTACCTTCTTCCGCGCACGATTTTCTATTTTTCTCCATTGATTTTTTTTTCTCCCTTTTTGACTACATTTTTTCTTCCTTCGGTCGTCTCCGGCAGAAAACACTCAATGACCTCCACGGCCGAGTGCGTCGGCTTTTCGAACGCACAAACTTTCATAAGAGGTAGACAGGGGCAAGCAATATTTCCTCTCTCTGTCTCTCTCTCTATCTCTATCTCTCTCTTTCCTCCCTCACTGTTTCGCCTCTCTCTCTCTCTCTCTCTCTCTTTCCCCTTTATCTTGCTTCCTCTTCTTATATTGTCTCTTATTTACTTAGCGTCCAGTGATATTGCAATTGAAAAAAGAAAGGAAAATAAGAAAAAGAAAGGAACAAGGATTTCATTAAACTGCGTCGCGAGGAAGAAAATTGGTTATGGAAAGTAATATTAAATGAAAATATAATAAGCTAAGGAAAGCACATTAAAAAAGTTGGCAAAGAAAGAAAGAAACAAACAAACAAATAAAAGTAAAAACAAAAGAAAGAATTTAGGAGTCAAAAGAAAGAAAGAAAGAAAGAAAGAAAGAAAAAGAAAAGAAAGAAAGAAACAGAAAAAGAATAAAAGAATCGAAACAAAAGAAAGAAACAAACAAACTAAATAAAACACGAAAGTAAAATGAAAACAAAAAAGCAAGTGATAAAGAAAGAAATGGTGAAAAAAACAAAGAAAGAAAGAAAGAAAGAAAGAAAGAAAGAAAGAAAAGTAAAAACACGTGAAAGAATTCAGGAGTGAAAATAAAAGGAAGAAAGAAGAAACTAAGAAAGAAAGAAACAGAAAAAGAATAAAAGAAAGAAAGAAAGAAAGAAAGAAAGAAAAAGAAAGAAAGAAAGAAAGGAATTTCAGTGCACAAAAGAAAGAAAGAATGAAAGAGAAAAGAAAGAAAGTGTGTAAAATACATAAGAAAAAAAGAAAGAAAGAAAAAAGAAAGAAAGAAAGTGGTAAGCACAAGAGTGAAATGTGAAAAAAAGAAATTGATGAAGAAAGGGTTAAAAAAGAGCAGAAAGAAAGAAAAATGTAAACGAAATAAGAAAGAAATGGAAAAAGGAAACAAGAAAGAAATAACTAAAAAAGAAAGAAATAAAGTAATAGGTAAACAGAAAGAAAGAAAGAAAGAAAGAAAGAAAGAAAGAAAGAAAGAAAGAAAGAAAGAAAGAAAGACAGTGATAGGCAAAGCAAAAACAAGGAAAGAAAGAGGAAAAAAGAAAAAACAAAGAAAGAAAAAGGGTAAACAAAGAAATGGGAAAAGGTAACAAGAAAGAAAGAAAGAAAGAAAGAAAGAAAGAAAGAAAGAAAGAAAGGAAGGAAGGAAGGAAGAGGCAAAAAAGGAAAGAAAGAAGTAAACTGAAAAGATAGAAGGAAAGAAAGAAGGAAAGAAAAAAGAGGAATGAAAGACTTAAACAAAAGAAGAAAGAAGTGAGCAAAGATAAAAGAAGGAAAGAAAGAAAGAAGTCATACGAGATGATTACAAAAAAAAAAGAAAGAAAAAAGAGGTAAAAAAGAAAGAAAAAAAGAAGGAAAAAAAGAAACCGAACAATCAGAAAGAAAAAGGTAAACAATGAAAAAGAACGAAAGAAAGTGGTAACCAAATAAAAAAAGAAAGAGATTACTAACGAAATTAGAAAAGGGATGAAAGGGCAAAAGATGCCCAATGAAATAAGAAAGAAAGAAAGAAAGAAAGAAAGAAAGAAAGAAAGAAAGAAAGAAAAAAGAAATGGAAAGATAATAAATGAAAAAGGAAGAAAGAAAGAGGTAATCAAAGAAAGAAAGAATTAAGGAAAAGAATGAAAAGGAAAAAGTTAACCAATGAAATAAGAAAGAAAGAAAGAAAGAAAGAAAGAAAGAAAGAAAGAGAAAAAGGTAACAAATAAGAAAGAAAGAAAGAAAGAAAGATAGAAAGAAACGAAACGAAACGAAAAAGGTAACAAATGAAGGAAGAGAGAGAGAAGGAAAGAGAGAGAAGGGTAGAAAGAAAGATGTAACAAGTAGAAAGACTTGGAAAACTTATGTCGACGTTGAAAGTTGAAAGGAAAGAATTTATGAAAAGTAAATGTAAAGAAGAAAAAAATCATTTTCGTGGAAATAATAGACAGCAAAAGAAGAAAAAAAAAAAAAATCTATTCATAAAAAAAGGTTTATTTCCTTGTCATCATTTACTGACTTCTTCGTTGATCCAGTGAATTGAAAGTTTCGCTTTTCTTTTTTACCCTTTTTGGGTTTCTATTTTTATTTATTTATTTTATTTTATTTTATTTTATTTTTTATTTTTATTTTTATTTTTTTTTTTTTTTGTTCATATGACGGGTGAGATCCGCTTTTTGTACTTCTTTCTGAGAACAAATAAAAAATTTAAAAAAAACCCTTATCAAAATGGCTCCGGTCGGACAAAAAAATATGTTTCGGGGAATAGAATATTTTCACCTTCCTGTTCCCTCATCTTTTTTCATCGGAAAATAATAGGGGCAAATGAATAATCATAATAACCACCATTGTCAACTGAAGGAGACTGTCATGGCCGACTTTAACCACAAACCCTGACATAATTACGAATCTGGCTTTAAAGACACAATATGGCGGATGAAATAGCAAAAATGATTATTTTAATAGCGATGACGTTAAAAATGATGATGGTCACTAAGATAAGGCAGTAATGTAGTTAACAATAATTACAATAATACGAGAGCGTGTCGAAAAGTTCACAAACCAACTAAGATTGATTCTAAAAATATACAGAGATCGGACAATATTGATTTGTTTATTACGGTTCATCAACCTTTTGTGGTTTATTTAAAGCCGATGCAGATTTTGATTGATTCGTTTTCTATGGTTTATCAACCGGGGAGCTGGAGCAAGAGGAGGTGGATTCATGCCTTTCCCAGGGGTATTTGTGCGTAAGTGAATATAGCGAACCCAACTGGAATTGGAACTCGGCTCTCCGATTAACAATTCCGAGTCATTAACCATTATGTCACTCGCACATCCAAGTTACAGCATCTATTCCCAAGCGGTCTCCCATCTAGGTACTGACCAGTCCCGACGTTGCTTAACTTCGGTTATTGTATGTGTTTCAGACTGATGTGGCCGTAAACTAAAAAGATTTTGAATTGTAAGGATAATTTTTTTTTTTTTTTTTTTTTTTTTGCTGCGTGTGTATGTTTATTGCCCGGAGCCTGGTGCGTTCTCAAAAGGGGAAGTGTCGAGATGGTATGGGCAATTTTTCAACGGTATTGCCGTTTAAAGCACTTTAAAACTCGACCTTGTGTTACATTCGCTAGTGATGTGAGCGCGCTGAAAAACAAACGCTTCTCAAAAGGAAACAGTGCACCAAACTGTTCTTCACTGTCGAACTCTCTGCCTTGAGCAGAGAGGACCCCGGACGAGGCTTTGCCGAAGGGCAAAGTTTCGTCCGGGTAGGTAGACAGGCCCGGGCCCGTTTATGTGGGCTCTACGGGAATATTTTTGGCCGAGACTACGGGCTCGGAGAACCCACGGTAAACTCGGCCTTATGCCTCATGCGTCCCTTGTGGGCGGTGGGGGCTGTTAAATATTAACAAACGCTTCTCGAACGTTTGGCTGAGATCAAAGTGTAGTATCTGTTCTTATCAGCTCAATCTGATTCTCATTCACTATCTATCTATCTATCTATCTATCACACACTTGCACCTTTATTTTTCATCATTGTAATAGACTACATCATGCTTATATCAGTGGATACAATCAAAGAAAATGGACTGATGTATCAGCCTAGAAGAAGCTCACGTCATCCTGCACTCTACATCAGCGATGCTGATTTTGCTGATGACATTGCACTGTTGTCTGACAACCTCATTAGTGCCCAAACACTCCTTTCTTCTCTTGAATCAGCAGCTAACTGTGCAGGTCTTCACCTAAATGAAACCAAAACTGAGTTTATGCCAATTAACATTTGCAACAATCATGAGATCAAAACACTCTCAGACAACATCGTCAAATGTGTCAAAGACTACAAGTATCTAGGATCACACATCAAGAATTCTGAGAAAGATTTCAACATTAGAAAAGGCATAGCATGGACTGCTTGTAACAAAATGGATAAGATCTGGAAATCCAATCTTGCTCGTCAATTCAAAATCCAACTTTTCCGCGTACTTATTGAGCCAATCTTACTCTATGGCTCTGAAACTTGGACTCTCTCAGCAAAACAACAGTGTCGTTTAGATGGATGTTATACACGTCTTTTAAGAAGAGTGCTTAATCTTTCATGGCGAAACCACCCAACTCTAGAAATGATATATGGAGACTTGCCGAGAGTATCAACCTTAGTTTGCAAAAGACGTGTCCAGTTCGCCGGACATTGTGCACGTGCCACATATGAACTTGTGTCATCATTTGTACTCTGGGGGCACCCATCATCTGACAATCGATCACGGAAGTTAACCTTTCCAGATAGGATAAAACGAGACACATTGATCCCTAAGGAAGATCTTTTGGGTGCTATGACAGATAGGGAATACTGGAGAGGTGTAGTGAATTCAATCTCGGCTGAGGCCGCAAGATGATGATGATGATCTATCTATCTATCTATCTATCTATCTATCTATCTATCTATCTATCTATCTCAGTCTGTTAATATCTATCTATCTATCTATCTATCTATCTATGTATCTATCTATCTATCTCAGTCTGTTCATATCTATCTAATTCTGTTCATCTATCTATCTAATTCAGTTCATCTATCTATCTATCTATCTATCTATCTATCTATCTCAGTCTGTTAATATCTATCTATCTATCTATCTATCTATGTATCTATCTATCTATCTCAGTCTGTTCATATCTATCTATCTATCTATCTAATTCAGTTCATCTAATTCAGTTCATCTATCTATCTATCTATCTATCTCAGTCTGTTCATATCTATCTATCTATCTATCTATCTATCTATCTATCTATCTAATTCAGTTCATCTATCTATCTATCTATCTATCTATCTATCTATCTATCTAATTCAGTTCATCTATCTATCTATCTATCTATCTATCTATCTATCTATCTATCCACTTCTATCTTCTCTTCTTTCTTTCATTTTCTCGCTGAAACCAAGTAGAGGCTTTTCTAACCTCTTTTTACGCGATCAAAACGAAATAGTGCAATATTTATGAGGTATTGGTAGATCGTAACATTCGTGCGACCTGACCAACGGAGGGACAAGCACAATTATAACAGGATAATAACAATGTATGTTATCATCTCTCGGATATATGTCTGTGAACGGACCAATAAGGAAAAGAATTGACAATCGTACATTAGCTTTAGCGAGCTCATAAATAATAATGGACAATTGAGACATTGGATTTCCTATCGCAAATAATTATTAAAAAGAAATAATAACATAAAATGAGCGCATTTGCTTCATTGAACACGCTAATAGATGTGAGATTAGCACGAGTGTATTTGGTTTTAATTAAACACGCAATCATTTGCCCTTATCGATATTATTGTTATTTCTTTCGTCCCTGTAGTCATAATGATTTTCCAAGCGTAGCTTAGATGTGGCACAAGGCCGAAAGTATGGAGCACCCGGTGAAGATCGAACTCACTTGTAATTGTTCTCTATTTACATTATTCGGACTATTGTCCTTATCTTTGTCGCCATATTTATTACAATGTTTTGGTCTTTCAATATCTGTCTATATATCTGAGATGAGATCGCCATATTTACAACGTTTTTCAGTATTATTCAGATATTACGTACATTATTTACATCTTTGTCCTAGCCATATTTTTATTACAATGTTTTGGTCTTTCAATATTCATATATCTGAGATGAGATATTATGTACTATATTTCTGAGATTTAGGTATTATGTACATTATTTACATTATTCGGACTATTGTCCTCATCATTGTCGCCATATTTATTACATCGTTTCTGCCTTTCAATATCTATCTATATTTCTGAGATGAGGTATTATGTACATTATTTACATTATTCGGACTATTTTCCTCATCGTTGTCGCCATATTTATTACAACGTTTCGGCCTTTCAGTATCTGTCTATATTTCTGAGATTAGGTATTATGTACATTATTTACATTATTCGGACTATTGTCCTCATCTTTGTCGCCATATTTATTACAACGTTTCGGCCGTTGTACGCTCCGGCCTTATTCAGGTGGCTGGAATGTCGAACTGAACTCTTTATTTCACTCACTGGGGTAGACTGTTCTGGTTCCACGTGCCATGTCTAATGGATGTCAATTAATAATTATTGCACGATCCGGCGTTCTTCATAGCGTTGGTTAGATCCAGTGACAGAACCCAAAGAGTGTGAGTTCAATACCCGGTTAAGGCAGTGGAGAACTTGGAGAGGGGAATTAACAGGAGATAACTGATAACTGACATCCATTAAACATGGCACGTGGAACTAGAAAAGTCTATCCCAGTGAGCGAAATAAAGGGTTCAGTTCGACATTCCAACCACCTAATGAAGGCCGGAGCGTACAACGACCGAAACGTTGTAATAAATATGGCGACAAAGATGAGGACAATTGTCCGAATAATACAAATAGTGTACATAATATTTCATCTCAGAAATATAGACAGATACCTAATTATTCTACCGAGACAAGCTTGTTAACTATTACACCTCCTCGAGGTAACCTCGTTCCTGTAGTCATATGTTACGCGTTCATTGTTCCTTCCAATATCTAACGGGGTATACTATGATATAGAGAGCATTATTTTATATAGGCGCGTGGTTGAGTGCTTAAAATGTTAGCGTTCCAACCAGGAGACTCGGTTTCGAATCCCACCATTTTCTATTAGTCAAGGAGCTAACTTCTTCTGGGGAGACCGTTTGTAGAGTAATTGTCCACGGTTAAATATAATAGGCAGAAATTTTCAACAAATAGAATTGAGAAAGTTTCGAATAACCAATAACAAACGAAAGACAAAAACAGGGCAAAAAATAATACTAAGCAAACAATATATGCAAGACAAAAGTAGGCAAAGTCACAGTAACGAGGCAAAAAAGTTCACAAACTAAGATAGGTGTTAACACACAAAACGGGTACCTACAAGTAATCGCAACGTTCTGACTTCAAAACAAGAAAGAAAAAACATATGGCGGATGAGATCTAGAAGTGGTTTATCTTATTGGCTAGAAACAAATCCCAGCATCCATCTGTACGATTGTCTATAAATTTGCGGTGGGGAAGGAGATAGTTTTGCATTCATTCATGTCAAAATGGCAAACAATACCGTCCTAACATTTGGTGCCATTGGAAAGTGCCTGGAAATCCTACCAAATGTTGACCCAAGCCTTATGAGTGAAATTGGATTGACGAAACTGTACAGAATTTGTCAGTGCTCATGCTAGAATATGGTTACAAGTCCTAAACTAAAGGGCAGATAGAAGCTCTTTCGCCTCGGTGAATAGTTTAACTGGAGATAATGTCTCTATAAAAATACTCATCACCCCAACAGTCCTTGATACTTGGGAGTATGAATGAAAAACGCCCCATGCCAGAAATCCTGAAAAAAAAATCACGCAAGTTCGAGATAATAAAAACATCACGCGAGTTCACGATAAAAAAAAATTACGTGAGTTCACAACGGAAAAATATGTTAATTCTGCATAAAAAAAATCACGCGAGTTCACGATAAAAAAAATTACGTGAGTTCACAATGGAAGAAATATGTTAATTCTGCATAAAAAAAAAAAACACGTGAGTTTGCAATAAAAAAAAATCATTTCTTGAGTTCGCAATAAAAAAAATCGCAACTAAAAATCACGTGAGTTCGCAATCAAAAAAAAAAAAATTCCGTGAGTTCGCAATAAACTGCATGCGGAAATAAAGCAACAAATTTGTCATGTTTTAAATTTAAATTATAAAGAGCAGACAATGACGCAATGGTTAACGAACTAGTCTAGCAGACTAAAGTTAGTCCGTAGCTTACTAGGTGCTCCATAAAATAAAACTAACCCTAATAAATATCTATACTCATAGCTACTGTAAGGTGAATTTGATCCGCACTAGGTGCTTTACACTTTTGACTTCTAAAACTCAGTGAAGTATAAGTAAATAAACATGTGATTTACATCATTGTATAATTTATCAGCCTTATTTTATTTTTTAAAACCGTGTCCTTTCAAGATGTAAGGAATCGTGGCTCTCCACAGCTTTCATTTATTCATCATCTGTGTCAGATCAAGATTTCCTCATAACGTTTTTTCTTTTCTATGGGCGACGACGACCCACAGATGTCCCGGATGCAAAATATAACCAGATCGTAATTATTAGATAATATTCGTTTGTCACTTTCAATAAAACATCTTTGCAGTCGAGATGACTACAGAAATACTCAGCAAATTATACACACACACACACACACATATATATTATATTATATATATATATATATATAATTGAATCCGACAGACAAGGTGCTTTGATGTAGTTTTTTGTAGAATTTCTCATGTGATCAATTTTTTTTTTCTTTTCGGATGATAAATTATATAAAATCTGTCCAATTCTTCTTTTTTACATTTAGCCATTTTCAAGGTTGAAATATATTAACTGTTAGTTTTCAGATTTTCAATTTCCTTTTTGTTATCAACTAAAATGAATATATCGTCTACATAATGAACATATATTGGATATAGTTTTAAGAACTTTAGCCAAAAACTTGTTTTCAACATAGGACATATAATAATTGGAGAAGCACGGCCTGAGAGGGTTTTTACATACTTCCCCATGGGTTTGTGTGTAAATAGTACCATTCTAGCTATAAAAGGGAACTCTAGTGGTGCAAATATTTCATACTTCCAACAGTTGGTAAATATCATGCCATATTAGAAAATGAATAGTAGATATCATACTATAGTGGAAAATAGACTGTAGATATCATACTATAATAGCAACCATTATGTAGAGGAGCCGAGCATGCAAACTGATCTCTGCTTAGTCCTAGCCATTGTAGAAAATGAATAGTAGATATCATACTATAGTAGAAAATGGACTGTAGATATATTATAGTAGCAACCCTTATTCTATCTTACGACAAAATCAAGATTCTCTCTCTCTCTTCCCCTCTCTCCCTCTCTCTCTCTCCCCCCTCTCTCTCTCTCTCTCTCTCTCTCTCTCTCTCAGGAAGTGGGAAGAATAACAAAAATTATGGGTATTAGAAGATTAAAAAAGAAATTGACCCAATCGAGATGAAAATGGAACGCCAAAACAAACAGAGGAGGTTGGAAATCTCGAATCGGACCATAGGGAGAGACGACACTTACTCACATTAACTAGGTACACAAGAAGAGTCTATCAACCAGGGTAGGGCTCTTTGGTTTACTAAAGTTTTTCCCGTTCTTTTATGAGTATTTAATAAATCTCTTCTTCTTGCTTTCCTCTGTTTAGTTTTCTGTTCTTTTGATATACTCTCGAACTAAGGTCTTCCTAATTACTTGGCTATTTTGAACAAATACAACATTACAACTCTTGAATGTCACTGACTGTTAACAATGAAAAGAGTAGTTCAATGATCACTTTGGTAAATCACACTCACACCTACCTTCTTCAGGTGGTTGGAATGTCGAACTGAACCCTTTATTTCGCTCACTGGGGTAGACTGTTCTAGTTCCACGTGCCATGTTTAATGGATGTCCGTTATCAATTATCGCCTGTTAATTCCCCTCTCCAAGTTCTCCACCGCCTAAACCAGGTATTGAACTCACACTGGATCTAACCAACGCCTTTATCCACTGTGCCATGTGTCCTTGACACATGGCACAGAGGATAAAGTGGATAACTGATAACTGACATCCATTAGACATGGCACATGGAACTAGAACAGTCTACCGCAGTGAGTGAAATAAAGAGTTCAGTTCGACAGTCCAATCACTTGAAGAAGGCCGGAGCGTACAACGGCCGAAACGTTGTAATAAATATGGCGACAAAGATGAGGACAATAGTCCGAGTAATGTAAATAGTGTACATGGTACCTCATCTTAGAAATATAGACAGAATATAATACATATTGCTTATAATATATTCCTTCTTGCCGTCAATTTTGATGGCACAGGTACACAAGTAATAATAATGATAATTATTATTATTATTATTATTATTATTATTATTATCGCTATGGCTGTTTCTTAAAAGCTTAAAAGTACACTGACCTCTGGATTGAGGTTGCTAGAATTTTGGAACATTTAGGTTAGTATTGTTCCAGTTATCATTGGGGCGTTGGGGTTTGTACTATCAACCTTAAAGACCTACATTAAGAAAACCAGGAAAAGCTTAATATTCTATCGCTTCAGAAATCTGCATTGCTTGATACTGCGAAAGGTGTTCGTACGACTTGATGGAGGACACGCATAATTCAAGATCTCCGGTGGAAAACGAAAAACCACGCGGAAGAAGATAAAAATGATAATAATTGACATGGCTGTCCCTGTTGATTATATTGTATTTTTTCCAAAATACAAGGATCTTGAAGTGGAAATCTCTAAAATGTGGCACATGAGGACATCCATAATTCCAGTAGTCGTTGGAACACTCAGATTGATTGGAAAATGTTCCGATAGACTCATTGAAGGGATTCCTGGTAGCCTCAGCAATAAAAAAAAAATACAAAAAATTTTACTTACAAGTACAGCTCACATATTACCAAGGGCTTTGTCTATATAATGTGTGTGTGATCTTAGTTTGTTTTTTTGTTTTTTTAGTGGAAAATATCATGAAGCCATTTCTGACCTTAGGTTTCTGGTTGGGACCGGAAATAAATGTGTATACAACAGAAATCTAAAGAAATAATAATAATAATAATAATAATAATATATGGTATTAGTGGTAATGGTAGTAACAAAGGTGTTCGTGTTGCAAATAGCGGTGAGTATTTTAGTCATTCGATACCCACCAATGGCCATTATTTTCTTTTGGTCGATGGTGGAATAGTGGGGGGTAATTATATTTTGATTGGTTAGAAAATAAAGATCGGCCAAAAGGAACACGCACACATGCACACATGCGCATTGACTGGAAGACACGCATGCGCCCTGAGGAACGCGTACGAAATAATCAACCCAAATTGACGACAAAACAAAAACAAAAGATTTATATTTCCTTTTCGTCTTCATACGTCCCCAATAAAGTTTTTTTTTTTTTTTTTTTTTTTTTTCATTTGAATACGGACAAGTTGCTCAGGTACAGCCTACTATAAAAAGAAATAAAAAATAATAGCATTCCTCGTCGTCAGCTTGAGTGAATGGCGACTAACTGATTTTTTCTTTCTGTTGTCCGCTCGATTCTGAAATGATTGAATATGTTGACGCGCATAAATAATGGTTGAGGCGTAAGTCACGAGTTTGAAAGACTTTTGTTTTGTCCGGATGCATAAAACGAATCTTCGGTTTAATAATTGAGCAAAAATAAAGAAGTTAACAAATAGTGAAAGCTGTCTTATCAGAGATGGGGGCGGGGGAGGTGCATATAAATTCTTAGAAGTTTTAAATCAAGAGACGAACTTTTGCTTGTATTGTGGCACGTGAAAGACGCTAGAATAAATTGACCAACTTGCGTGAGAGACGACTGTGCGTGCCATATTTAAAAATAGTTAATCAAAACGAGAAAGAAAGAAAGAAAGAAAGAAAGAAGCAGAAAAAGAATAAAAGAATCAAAATGGAAGGAAGGAAGGAATGAAGGAAGGAAGGAAGGAAGGGATATAAAGGAGCCGATGAAAAAATTAAGAAAGAAAGAAATAATAAAAATGTCACAATAGAAGGAAAAATAAAAGAATCGAAACAAAAGAAAGAAGGAAAAAGGAGTCGATGAAATAAGAAAGAAAGAAAGAAAGAAAGAAAGAAAGAAACGGGAGAGAGGATAAAGGATAGGGAAGACGGAAAAAAGGACGAAGGGACGAGATAACGAAAAGAAAGAAAGAAAAAAAGAAAGAAAGAAAGAAAGTATAACAAGTCAAAATAGAAGGAAGAAAGAAATTAAGAAAGAAAGAAATAGAAAAAGAATAAAAGAATCGAAACAAGAACGACAGAAAACAAGAAAGAAAGGGAATAAAAGAACCGATGAAATAAGAAAGAAAGAAAGAAAGAAAGAAAGAAAGAAAGAAAGAAAGAAAAGTAAAAACACAAGAAAAATGTCAAAATAAAAGGAAAAAGAAACTATGAAGGAAAGAGGAAAAGAATAAAATACTTGAAACAGAAGAAATAAAGAAAGAAAAAGAGAAAAAAGTGATGAAGGCGCCGATGAAATAAGAAAGAAAGAAAGAAAGAAAGAAAGAAAAGGAGTCGATGAAATAAGAAAACAAGAAAGAAAAAGAATAACAAGTCAAATTAGAAGGAAAAAATAAACTAAGAAAGAAATAAACAAAAAAAGAATAAATGAATCGAAAAAAGAAACAAAGAAAGAAGAAAGAAAAAAAGAAAAAAAAGGATCCGATTAAATAAGAAAGAAAGGAAGCGAGAAACAAAAATAAAGACACAAGAAAGAATTTAGGAATCGAGATAAGAGGGTGAAAGAAACTAAGAAAGAAAGAAAGAAAAACAATAAAAGAATCGAAAAGAAAGAAAGAAAGAAAGAAAGAAAGAAAGAAAGAAAGAAAAGAGAAGTCAAAATAGAAGAAAGAAGGAAACAAACAGAGGAAAGAATAAAAAGAAGTAAAAATCGAAGAAAGTAAGCAAGAAAGAAGCGCATTCGCTCACGCATTCATAAATAAACACAAACATATATAATGGTGTGCTCAAATGTAAGCACTCGTTTACACACTTACCCACGACGTGTGTCTATGTTTCAAGGAGTCTTACTTGATTGTTACGCACTTATAAACAAATGAATGCATGTGTTTGTGTGTATCGGTGTGCGTGTTGTGTCAGATCAGGATTTCCTCATAACGTCGTTCTTCTTTTCTATGGGCGACGACAACACACAGACGTTCCAGATACAAAATATAAACAGACCACCATTATTAGATAATATCCGTTTGTCACTTTCAATAAAACATCTTTGCAATCGAGGTGACTACAGAAATACGCAGCAAATTATATATATATAGAGAGAGAGATAGATAGATAGATAGATAGAATAGATAATATTACTGGTTAATATACACATATATATAAAATATATAAATATGTATATACGTACATACATACACACACACACACACACACATACATACATATATATATATATATATATATATATATATATATGTGTGTGTAAAAATATATGTTATTTTTCCTTTCTTTTTTTTTGAGGTCTGATTAATTGGATCGTAATTACGATTCCAATGTAATAGATTATGACCATGGAGTACTAGTGTTTAAGCCTTTTATTATATTTTTACTCTGTCCTGGACATTGAGTTTTACCTGGATTCTATTCCTCTCGGAATTTTTTTATATATATATATATATATATATATATATATATATGTATGTGTGTGTGTGTTTATGTATGTACGTATATATATATTTATGTATTTTAGATATATGTATATATATATATATATATATATATATGTGTGTGTGTGTGTGTGTGTATATTAACCACTAATATTATCTATCTATATATATATATATATATATATATATATATATATATATATATATATATATATAATTTGCTGCGTATTTCTGTAGTCACCTCGATTGCAAAGATGTTTTATTGAAAGTGACAAACGGATATTATCTAATAATGGTGGTCTGTTTGTTTATAAGTGCGTAACAATCAAGTAAGACTCCTTAATAATGTTTTTCTTTGTTCTTATTCTTTCATACTCAGTAACCCTTTGTGTCTTAGTGGTTTTACTGCCTTGCATGGGGGAAATGATTAAAAAATGGTTTCTTAAAAAGGAAAATGCATTTCATAAATACTGCTGCCTTAATTTCCAAGTTTTAAGTAACGAAAAAAAATCTGCTTGACCTATTTTGTATGGTAACGGCACAGGTGTGTACATCACAAGCGTTATTAATGTTGGTTGAATTCAGATAGCAACGTCAATTGAAATCATTTGCAAGAAGAAACGATCAAATACGCGAGGATAATAGTTTCGACGTCAAAATATTTTAGCCGGAATAATCATGAGTTAGCTAATCGATATTTCTTTTCAGTTGAGTGCCCACAAATATGACCCTAATCGAA